AGGGCCAGCCCAAGAGATGGCCGCCTTAGTCAACATTTTTTTTCTTGCAGGCTTTGTCTCATTTAATCCTCACCGCTCTGTTTGGTGGTGAGCGTGATCATTCCAGGTTTGTAGATGAAGAAATCTACATCGAAAAATCATCGCTTGTCCCAGGTTACACGAAAGGAGATGGCAAGATCAGGATTTGAACTCAGATCTACCTGGCTTCGATTCCCTCCCATGTCCCCCATCCACACCCACACCCACATCTGCACACATAGTGTTTATTTTTGGCTCCTCTGTGCTAAGTCTTTTATGAGGATTACTCATTAATCCCCAGGACAGCCTCACAAAGTAGGTTACCCTTCTGAGTCCCATGCTAAAGACCAGGAACCTGAGGCCCAGAGAGGTTAGGTCCTGGCTCAGGGTCCACACAGCCAGCAAATTACAGAGAGGTCCCTGTACTGCTTCATAGTGTGTGGCAGATCCAGAACCACTGGGAGATGTCTGAGGCCAAAAGAGTTGGGGTGGGGGGCTCGGCTGCCCCCTTCTCCCCTGTGCCCTCAAAATAATCTGGAGAAGTTAGAGTGTGACTCTGAGTTTTATTTTCCATTATTCAATCAACATCCACTCTCCTTCTCTGGGTTCTGTCTATGTTGGGTAGCGCTGGGGACTCAATAGTAAGTCCATGTAGGAGATGACGGCCCAGAGTAGGCAGGGCTGGGATGTGGGAGCCCAGGAAGCCTCAGGAGCCTGGAAGGGGCGTCTCATCCAGCTTGGGAGTCGGGGATCCGAGAAAGCTTCCGGGAGGAGGGAGCATTTGCACTGGGACCTGGAGAACAGGTGCGGAGCTGCGCTGGAGTCGGGCATCTGGTCCACGGGCCAGCGGCGCCCTCTTCTGGAAACATCTTGTAGTGCAGTAGCCGGGGTACTGCAGGGGTTCTGTAAAGCTCGGGTTGAACCACATTTTGCGATGCTAGAATCCTGTGCGCCCAGCTTTGGCCAATGTACGTTTGGAGGACTTGATTTAGTCAGCCCGTCACTCAAAAAAAATGTTCATTGAGCCCCTGCTTTGCGCCAGGCTCTGTTCTAGTGCTAAAGATTCAATACTGACCACACAGAGGGGGAAAAAACAATATTACATCGTGCGATCATTAGCTAATATTTGCTAAATGCTTCCTATCCATTTATTAACTCATTCAATCTTCGCAGCTTTGGACGATCCCCATTTTGCAGATTAAAAAACCGAGGCACAGAGAGGTTAGGTTGCTTGCCCAAAGCCTGCACAGCCAATAAGTGCTGAAATCACATTTGAACCCACAGCCCAGGTTTTATCCATTACATTATCTCCCCAATAATGTGATGTAACATAACATAATAACGTTATATAATGTTACACAAAATACTTTTAGGCCCTCGGAAGTTTTGTGAATCAAGTCAAGTGGGGGAAGGAGTATTTTGTGGGAGGGGTAATTGGAAGGGGCAGTCAGGGACGGCCTCTCAGAGAAAGCGCCTTTGAGGAGAGACCGGAATAATGGTGAGCTCTATGGGAAGAGAGGTCCAAGCAGGGGCATAGCCAAGGCAAAGGCCCGGCGGCAGGCACTGCGAGGCTATATTATAGGTCTGGCTTCCGAAGTTTCCAAAATTCCCAGTTTTTAAGTTTCTGGCTCTTCGAGGCCCCCGTTTCCAGGCCTCTGGCGTGCTGGAAGCGTCCCCAGGTTCGACGTGCCCCGAAGGCTCCCGGCTCCGCCTCCGAGGTGCTGCTATTCCCACTGGACCCTCGCCGCGGGGCTCAACTTTCCCCGAGCGGTGGGCGGGGCCGGCCTCACCTGCGGGGGGCGTGGCTC